TAATGAAACGTTTGCAAGAAAAGAACCAAGCTCAGAGAACCCCAAGGACTCCACAGTTCAACCCTGAGCTACACATATTCACCTCTATTGGTACCCCTGAGAATATCCAGGCTCTGGGAGCTACTTGGGATATTCCCAGAGTGATTGAGTTCCCAGTTCAAGCTTGAGGGATGGGCCAGGGAAGGCCTTTAATCACGGATGGCATAGCCCAGTGCAAGCTTTGCACATGAGATCGTCATTAGCTCCACAGCAACTTCAATGAGAAGGATCTTTTGAGGTCAGAAGGGCACCAACTGCAGGGGTTGGATATCCTAAAATTGGAAGGTGCTCATGGATATACTTTTAGGTGCCAAATTAAATCCATTTTATTTGCCCAGATTTTTAATTCACTGTGAAGCAGATGCTACTACTGTTTTTTGGCATTGATTGCTATGCAATCTCTTGTTTTCTCCTGCATATATTTGGGGATTTACTGACTTCACTGAATCTAAGTAACTGGATTTCAATTGTACCTCTTTGTAGTTGAGGTGAAGATGGAAAGATAAACTGCCCTGAACATCTGCAAACTGAAAACCAGGATGTTTTAAATTAAACAGATTTTAATAATCCTGTCTAAGACCACTTGTTCACACGACCAATCTGAACCCAGAAGACGTCTGCTGCCCTTCCTGCATTCAAGACTTCTCTTTTTCTGGGACACTTCTGTGTTTCTAAGTTATGTACACTCAGTTCAGAACAGTTCAATATATGATTTTCCAAAAAATCAGTACTGATTTCCCATACACTTGCATCAAACAGTGCACAGATTAGCCCCACTTTCTCCATGAACATGAGTGACTCACTCCTCAAGGAAGTGATACCTGCAGCTTTTAACCTACTAGCAGCACCAAAGACAGTCACCCTCTAACTTTAAGACTGCATGGCCAGCAAGCCAGGGATGTCTTGTTAGCACACAGAAGGAGGAGGAGGAGGAACCAGAGATATATTCAGACTATAAGTCATTTTGATATATGAACAATATGTGAGTTCCACTTCTGCCTCTGGTATCTCATACCCTTCTTAGGCTGAGGAATTGGAACCCAAACTTAGCCTGTTTGGACCCTGCCTCAGAAACAGAAATAAACCCTGGCAGCTTTGGGTCACTCTGGGGCAGGTTTGCCAGGAGTCAGAGGAAACACAGCGTCTCCAGTGGAAGGGGTTATGGATGACCCCCTTTCCCCCCAATGCTATAATTTCTGCACCATGTAGGGAAGACCATTTTTAGAGAAACTGAGCACCCAGAAGTGTGAGAGGAGGAAGAAAGAGATACCAGGAGTATTCTCCATAGAACGGAGGTTTAATGTAACAGGCAGGCAGATTCTAAAACTGAGATTCTACAGATAAGCTCAGTTTTACATTAGGAGCTGCTCAGAGGGGCCGGAGAAGGGAGAAAGGATGAGCAACAGTCCTTACCTGCCAGACGGGGTCAGTGTGCTTGCCAGACATGGCGCTGCTTTTGTAGCCTGGCTGAGTGGCAGCGGGCTTCTTCAGGTTGTAGATGGCCACATTGCCATCATAGAAGCCCACCACAATCAGATAGGGGTGGTCTACGTGGACATCAAGGCACATGATGCCACTCTCACTGCTGAAGTTGTACTCTGGGAAGGTGGGGTTCTTCAAGGAGTACAGCAGGAGCATTCCACGACTCTGTTTCATGAAGTCATCTGGAGGAGGAGGAGGAGGAGGAGGGAGAGGAAGTCATTTCAACCAGGGCATCCATTGTCAGAACTAATTTCTGCTAGCAAAAATTGCCCTGCCCTACATCTTGCAGCAGTGAACCCCACAGTTGCTGATATGGCAGGTCTGACAAGCTGCTCTGAGTAGAATGTTTTGAAAGTGGGGTTAAGAACCACTGAGATAAGTTTTGCTTTGAAGGAAGTCTGTTTATTTTAGCTATTTGTTTATACATTCCACTGTCTGCCTAAAAAATTCTTATCACCAAAACCAGAAACACAGGCACGAAATGCACACCATCAAGCAGCGTGAAGATCACGACTGAAAACAAACCTAAATTAACACGGCACAACATTGGGTGTTATAAATCCAACAAGACAATCCTTACAGCCCATTTCAATCAAAGCAAAATAATGTAACTGGGGCTCCATCTTGAACTTCCCTAGATAATGGGATTCATACAGATTCACCAACAATAATTGTAAAGCGTGCGCAGCTTCATTTGGGAGGAAACAGTCCTTCAGCCTTAAAATTGGGGGTTTTTTAGTTCAGGCGTTACAGTTTTAAGAAAAGCTTGCTAATTTGTGCCTGAAAACATACCAGAAGCTGGTGCGGTTGGTCTGAGTCCAGGGTCACGTAGTCCACAAAGCACACTCCCAGCAAAAGTCCAGCGGCCACATTCTGCACTAGTTTGGTTTGGTGATCATCTTTGAAGTCAACCCCCACACAGACTGTGATCTCACAACAAAATCAGCTCAGTTAGTGGCTGCATTTGAACAATATGCCAAGCTCAGTAATCTTAGTTTGTTGTGCCTGAGCACATTAGGGGTGTCTAAATGAGGGGCAACTAACACACCAGGAAACTGTGACCAGCATCAGCAGAGATAAATGCAGGCACCAGGTCTTGAGGTTTCATCACTTCCACAGAGTCATCTGAGATGGACAGAGAGGCTCCCTGCTTTTAAGTGAAGAGACATAATCAGCCCAGCAAGCAGACCAGTGCCGCCTTGCAGCTCTACAGGCCCAAGGCAACTGGCAGGGTCTTGTTTTGCAAAAAGACGGAAAGCAAGCTCCTTGTCTCCTGGACAAGGCAGGAGGTGCAGCTTCCCCGTGACCTTGGTCTCCCAAATATGGGACTTCCTTCAGCTCCACAGTGCCAGGGCCCCAAGCAAAACATACTCGGAGGAAGAAAGCAGACCTACTGAGAGACAACTATCAGAATGTGCTCAGGCATCTTCTTGTTACTCCACACATTCCCATCCTCCAGGTTGATCTTTCCTGATAAAAGAAACAAGGCCTCCCCCATCCTGCCCAACAAAGTGTCTAGAACCAAGCTTTTCTTCACTCTCTTCTCATTTCTAATTATTTCTATACCGACGTGCATGTTTCCAGTTTTCAGTAAAAAAGGCAAGGTGTTGATTAAGATAATGAGGCTGAGAGCAAAGTCAGAACTTTATTCTATAGCCATTTGCACTACTTGCAGCTGTTGCCACACAATGCTGCCACCTTCAGGCTCACACCATGCAGGAAGCTCTTTTCCTTTTTGACGGGGATGTCTCACCCTCCAAGTCCATGCCACATGCCCTGCTCTGTCAAAAGAAGGTTCTATCCCAGATAGATAGATGGAGATCTGGCCCACGGGGAGCTGCACTCACACTGCAAAGAACCACGTCCACTTCTTAGGAATCCACAATATCAAAAGAATTTTGTGGGTAATCTTGCAAGCCATCCAAGTCATCTTGTTTCATCCTGCCAATTTAGCATTTAGTTCTAAACAAATATGAGTGACTTTGTTCACAAAAAGTTTAGCAACCTTGCTGTAGCAGCCTAAAAGGAGATAATTAACTTGAACCGCCCCAAAAGGGTGTAGGTTATCTTAAACATAAAAACATAAGGTGTGTCCTGCTGGATTGGTCCCTAGTCCATCTAGCCCAGCAGTCTGTTCTCATAGTGGCCAACCAACTGCACAAGGAAGCCCACAAGTCTCCCAGCCAATGGCCTTCAGAAGTAGTCCTACTGACATCAAGGCCAATAGCCATGAATCAGTCCAATCATTTTTGAAGCCAAAGTTGAATTATGCATTGTGTAAAAATAACAATCTGCCTATGCAATAAGCCTGGAAAAATACTAACTTTTTGCCATCCTTATCACCACACTGTAGGCCTGAACATGGGGATATACCTTTGTTTAGTTGCATTTATTCTTCTTTTTCCATCAATTTCACTCTAGACATCATTTCCGTCTTGGTAAATCAATGTATTCCCCAAGTTCCCCAGGATTGGGCCACTTGGGGGCAATCCTGTTCAGTGTTCTTGTGGCCTTCACAAGGTTGACAAATCTTGTGGGAGAATGAGCTGTACTGCTGGGAAAATCCCCAGGCTCGAACTGGATCTATAAGACCCCTAGAAGACCATCAAGTTGGTCCACAAGCTTGTGGAGGTATATCAGATCATACTCCATCTGATCCAAGGTAAAGGCTAGATCAAGCATGGATTCCCCTATATGTGTTGGGCCAGAAATCATCCAGGAAAGGCCCATGTTTATTATGGAGGTCATGATTCCACACCCCAGAAAATGGAGACTGAAGCACTAGCAGCTTGAAAGAATCTAACTCCAGCCCCAAAATAAGATCTAGAAGTTCAGGTAGTGATGCCATGGGGCAGCTAAGTAGACAGTACCCCAGCAGAATCCACCAGCTGAATATGAGTCAGCAGCATGTAAAGGAATGTAGAGTTGACCTTGGGGATAGGAGGGAAGGATCAAGCCATTAGGGGGAGACTTGCAGAAGAGTTTGTCCAATTCTAAGGCAAAGGAAAGTATGAGAAACTCAGGATAACCCTAACTTGATCTTGTTTAGTGTATGGGATAGAGAGAAACTTAGATAAGCTTTCAAGATTTTATTATTCTACGTTACTACAATAAATAGTATTCCTGGAATCCTTACTGTGCCTGTTTCTTGATCTGGTCTACCCTGAAGGGCTGATATCAATCTTGAAAGCCTGTTCAGGTTTCTTTCTGTCCATCCCAACTGAAAAAGACATTGACATAAGACAAGATTGACTAGAAATGATCACTGAAGTCAGAAGAAAGAGCTTATAGAACTTAAAGAAGCAATTACTGACAAAAAAGTGCTGAGGAAATGATGTCCATCAGATCACAAAGAGATGAAAGCAAATGAAAGCCTGAATAACAACTATAATTCCACTATATTTAGCATTAATCAGACCACATTCAGCTCTAGGCACCACATTTAAAAAAGATTCAGAACAACTAGAGCAAGTTCAATAAATGGCAGTCAGCATAGTTTACTGGTGTAAGATACTGGACTAGTACTGGGAGAACCAGATTCATGTTCACCCTAAACCACTGGAAAGGTGGAATATAATTCAATTAAATAAATAAAAAGGTTATTTGGAGACTAGAAGCTAAGTCCTGAAGAAAGATTGAAGGAACTAGGCATATTTACTGTTGAGAAAGGACAATTGAAGGAGATAGGATACTTGAGGGATGCCAGAGAGGTTCAACATCTGTTTTCTATCATCCCAGAGTAGAGGACATTGAATAATGTATTTAAATTACAGGTACAGAGATTCCATTTGAATATTAGGGGGGAAATGCCTTATGGCAATCTTGGTTTGACGATCAAACCAAGTCCAAGAGTGGCTCTTTTTTCCTGGATATATTCAGACAGAGGTTGGACAGACAATCACCTGCCACGAATCTTGTCCTATGAATTTTCAGCAGTATCTCCCAACTCTAACATTTTTTTGCATAAACAGCACAATCAAATGTTAGGATGTAGAAATCAAAACAAAAGAACAGGTACAGGATATCCTGAAAAGGAATAAATACATCCAAAAGGCCACCAACAGCTTCACAATGTAAACAAGCCACAGAGAAGGTAGTGGCAAAAATCATCTTTGAAAACGATTTTTCAAGCAAAATTTAATTTTCAGGACTGCCCCTCCCATTATATTTCACATTTCTGTGAAATGAAAGCAGTACCAAGGCATGAAGAAATAGTTCCTGCATCTTGAGGATCAGCACTTTTTTTGATCATTAGAAAGATAACTGAAGAAACATTAAAGGAATGAGGTTCATACAACCCTAAGAAATTACTACACTGCTCCTCTCTCTCTTACATACACACACACACACACACACACACACACAGAGGCATGCCTAACCTTGAAAAGAAAAAAAGTCTGTTGTTCTTTGACCTCCCTTATCACCACTTTACCGCTCAGTCACACGTAATGATAAAGGAAAATTGGGACTGGTGGACAAACAGTTGGAAAAAGTCACGGAACTTTGTTTTTGCGAATGCAGTGAGATTATTGTATGCACAAAAGATTTGGTGAAGGTGATGGAACTTGCCAAGATGGCTAAACTGACTTCTTTGATCAGGGAAAAGACAATGTCTACGTTTGTGGCTGACTGGAAACCCCTTACAGACTTTTTGCGTGAAATAGATAAAAATGAACTTATGATTTTATGGTTTGAATGATTAGACAGGAGAGATTATAGAAAGAAGAGAGTCTTCTTGTAACCATAGAGTAAGAGGTAAATGTATAATTGTTCTTATAACTGCTGTAAAGAAGATCAAAAGCTACTTCTTTCTCTTTCCTTTCCTTTCCTTTCCTTTCTATTTTTCTTTTCCTTTTCTTTTCCTTTCTTTTCCTTTTAGCTTTCTCTTTGATTTTTCTTTTTTTCTTTTTCTTACGTTATATTAGCTTGTATTGATTTTTGTGTTCCTTTTTACATTTTTTAAATAAAATTATATAGAAAAGTCAAGATGACAGACAAGTGTTCAAAGCTATCAGAGGGGCTTCCATTGGATGGTTGTAGCCATCATCTTGACTTTTTGGACCACCCCACCCCACCCCCAGCCCCCCATGGATGCTCATGGTGCCATCTTTGCTGCGTACAGTAAATGTTACTGGCAGGACTTGATTGCAGAGAGCAGAGATTCGCAGCTCAGCCAGCCAGG